AATATATATATATATATATATATATATATATATATATATATATATATATATATATATATATATATATATATATATATATATATATATATATATATATATATATATATATGGAAGGCATTCCCTTTCAACTTTCAAGCTATTTATTCTCAAAAATTAGTATCTGTCCTTTGGAAGTACCCGTTGTCGCCTTACAACTATTTGCCATGCATTTGCGATTCATCGTTTTTTAGCTTTTTGAATAACATCCTATCAGATTAGTTGGTATCATTTTAAATGAACTATTTCCGGGATACTTTTGTTATCAGAATTGGCCAAACTTTTTGTTCGGTGCTGTCGATGTTACTGTAATATGATATGATGCCGACAACTTCAGTGCAAATTCCATCCTCCCAAATCACCTACTTTCCACCCCCGATTCATCACTCCATCGAATATTATCTTTGTTAAAATCGACTTAACTTTCATCATTTTCATCCTTATGAATACCATTTCGTATTACGCGATGTCCATCAGTTATCTGTAAGGCGAGCAATGGGAGATTTATATGGTGCACAAAGATTGTAGGTTTCCCTCTCTATCCCTCTCCATCTCGAGAAATTCCTTTTTAGGTTTTTCACTTCTTCCAGCTTATGTGATATTCCATGACAGAATGCATTATTGGTTCAAATTTTTGTAATTACAAGTTTGAAATTGTAATAAGTTTGAATATTTGTAATTATTCATACTTTGTAATCATTTCATAACAACCTTAGGATAATTGTTTATCCTATATTCATTGGCATCAATGAATTGATTGATTAATTTCTCCACTAGAAATCTTCTACTTTTATATGATTTGATTCCTAAAGAACTTATGATACTACATCAATAATGCATTTTCCTGTTCAGTTCTATTTCCTATATAACTTTTTTCTGTACGTAAAAGACGAATAGTCCTTGATTATATGATGCGGTAGGTTGCAGCATGAAAACTTTTTCATTTTTTAACTTTGCATTTGATTTTTAATCATAAAAAACAATCAAACGCATTTCCTTCTAAGTTGACTTGAATATTTACACCTGTAGAGAAACGAATGGGCAGGACGAGAAATCTCGGACATTACCGGTATTATTACGGTTGGTTCTCGTTCAGATATGTAATTTAATCAGTTGTACACGAAATTCCATTTCGTTAAACTTATTTTAGCTTATGAAGCTGAGTTACCTTCGTGGTTTTTTTTTCGTCGTGGACTGCTCATACTATTTATAGTTCATTAATATATTAATTGCGATGTTCGCGAATTCTTCGAATCTTTATACGATTGCAAATTCATAGCGTATAAAAATTACTGCATTATTTATTGTCCTTAAAAACACCCCTTTAAAACAGACTGAAAAACTATCAAATTTTTCATCGCCAATCTATTAATTTCCATGTTATATCAGTCCATTTCTCCTGAATCATCCATTTTTCACCTCATCGGATTTAGCTGATAAGTTGAAAGTAAATTCATTATTCCATTTTCATGGTAATCAACAAAATTCTACCACCATGAGAAATAATTCAAATTAATTATTGATGCTTTTTTCAGTTAAACTAAAGATAATTTAATAATTGTTAAGTTAAAAGTAGCTGAACCTTTTCCTCATCGTAACCTTCCCCTAATTTTTCTTTTTTTATTTTTGTTTTCTTTCTCCGCAACATTGAAATCTTTTAAGTGGTTTATTCTAATACATTACTATTTTATCGACCAGCTCTTTTTTTATATTTTTTCCCCATCTGTTTTTCATTTGTTCTTCATCACTTTTCTTTTTTTCAGAACAGTGAAACTCATTGAAAATGTTACACTAATTGAATAGTAATAGCATTAATAAGTGGAAAATTAAAATTCAATTTGTGGGATAAAATTTTTGCCAATATTAAGGACCGGTAATTAATAGATTGCGCTATAATTCTTCATTTTTTTAAATGTATTTATTTTTATTTTTATTTTATACATTTTTTTTTCCTTTCGTCTATTGGAAATTTCGACAAACAAAAACAATTTACGAATGATGGTTAATGGCTAATTCATTGTCAATAATAGAATTTTGTAAAATAATTGAATGAAATGGAAATGTGAAAAGAAATCCTTTTATGTATTCTAAACATTAACCTTTTTTACTCATAATTTGTTGATCGTTTTTATTTTATTTTATTTTATGTTTTTATTTAATAGACAAAAAATTCCTAACTTTAGTTTAATTAGTAGTTAATTGTAAACATTAAACTGAGTGTTTTTAGCCTAAAAAAAAAAAAAAAAAAAAAAACTGAAATATTTCCTAGAGCTATAAAGAAAAAGCTCGACGCGATTTTTCGCTGTCATATTAATGAGTATGTTAACAGAATTACAAGTTTTAAGCGCATTACAAGTTTGTTATATCCTTTAGAATACTGTAGAATTATTCCATGAATAATGAAATGCTGTAGCTGTAGCATTAGAAATTGCAAAATTTAGCTACATAAATCTTTGGGGAACTATTTCGCGTGTATCTATAAATAAGACGAATTAGAAAACTACGATGAAAATTATATTTTCTTGGAAGTTTGCATAACATGACATCAGAGTTGCAAAAGATTTTCTTTATTTCGATCTCAAAATCATTAGACAAAAGAAACAATACTAATGTCACATAATCATTAAGAATTGCAAAACACAACAGGTGAAGGTATATTTCAAAATGTCATCACTAAGATAAATTCCAAAGGTTCAAATTGGAAAGATAAAAAGAGCAAGAATGCTATTAGTTGTGTATAGGGTTTATATATATATATATATATCTTGGCAGTTTATGATCACTATTAGATAATACGATCAATATTTCTTCAAAGATACCGCTATTAGCGAACTCTCTCCGAAACAATAATCACATATACAATGCACAATGGTAATACCTCCAACATATACATTAAAAATTTGAATAATTTTCAAATCTTAATCACAATCCAATTTGGTAATTACTAATTAGTACATCACAACATAATCACTACTTTATGCCCATAATAATCATGGAACACCTTCGCTTTTAATCGTGACAAGCTTAATTAACAGTTTATTTTGCGCATTGTAAAGCAATTGAAAAATAGGTATTTTATTGTGTTGAAAAATAAGATTTATGAACTAGAAAAAACAATAAATTCGCTGAACATGAAATATTTTTTAAAAAAGAAAACGACTGCAATCGTTGGTTTATATTAATTAATGAAGTGATCAATTGCCAAAAGGTAATTTTCGATTTATCCTAAAGCAACAAGTCGATCAAAACAAAATTAATCGCATATAAATTTTCCAGAAAATAATAAATTCGAATTACTGTTAATGGAACTTACTTTTCAACTTATGGCATACATTTTTGGAATAATTGTTAAATTTAGATTAATAAAACAAATTGTTGACATTATTTATTATAACAAAATAGATGAAATTCTCGCTGTATTAATCATAAGGGATGACCAAAGGTGGGTCACATTATTTCCATGTAATAATTAAATTTTCTCTTCTCTAATTCATCTTTCCTTATCCCAATTTCATTATCGTCTACCTTTCTTCTTATCCTACAAAAATATTTGATGAAAATTTTATTGTAAAATTGAAATCCTTCATTTAGAATTACTGCAATCGATTTGAAAACTTCTTTTTTAAATTTATTTCATTCACTAATTTAATTCTCCACCTTTTATTCCAATTAATTTCTTCCTTTTTTCTTTCTCATTGCATATGTACAAAAGCAGTATAAGAATTTTTTTTAAATTATCATCAGAATTTTAATAATTAATTACCAAAATCTTCACCAAATTATCTCTTTATCATAATTAATATTTCATTCACTTTCTCATTTTGCTTTTTTTCTTCTTCAATTTCAAATAATTGGAATTTAAAAAAAAAGTTGCAGTGCAAATGAGTAATATTGAAGATGACGAAAGTGATGAAGAAGATGGAAACATTCTTTCATCATCATCTGATTTATTGCCTAAAATATATTCGAAATCATAGAGTTTTATGAATAGCAAAGATATCATGCTTAAACATGAAAATATTATCAAACATACTGGAAATTCTGAAATTACCAAAATTAATTCATTAAAAAAAATTTCCTCTCTGCCAAACTTAAACAATCATCCGAAGATACGTTCATTTCTTCGGGATTTCCGGAAATTATTCACAAAAAGTAAAACCTTAATGGATACCACCACTATTATTACTACTACCGCTGCCATTACTACTACCACTACTGCTACTACTATGATTACTACTACTACTACTATTGCTACTACTACTACTACTACTACTACTACTACTATTGCTACTACTACTACTACTACTACTGCTATACGTAGCACAGAGATTCAGAACGAAGTGAAAGATTTAAATGACTTTGCCATCCAGTTAAGGAAAAAATCCCGATCTTGGTCACATCATGAAACTCGGGAAATTTTCCGGAAATGTCAAAAATCTACTAATAAGCGCATTTATTCGCCAATTCATGCATTACAAAATAATCAAAATATGCTATTTATGAATCAAATTGTTACCAAATGTGAATATACCGTATACGTAAAGGTATCCTTCTTTATTGGAATTTGTTAACATTTCATAGTGCTACTAAGTAATAATTTTAAGTTAACATACCGGTAATTAAATGATAATCTCTTGTTATTACGGTAAATATTATTTCTATTGTAACAGATATCCCTCGTTATGCGGTTTTTTTCTCGTTATACGGTCACGGTTTTTTCTTTTTTATGTTACAGTAACTATCATTACCAATATCATCCACAATGATTCCTTAAGAATTTCTTTTCATTTTCCAAAAATACTTTTTAAGATTATCTGGTTAACAAGAATATTAGGATATCTTACCAGTCTGCTTACCAATCCATGATTTCAGTATATTTTCTGGAAATCATTCGATTAATGTATTTGCTAAATTTTGATATGAATACCGAACAGTATTAATGTTAATAGTTCTATCAATTTCTTGCAACAATATTATCATATCAATTAAGGAAGACATATTGAGGAGATGACAAATGAAAATTATGTTGTAATTGATACAAATTTGGAATTCTTTAAATAAATAAATTTTTGAATAATTCAGGATTTCTCGGCAGGAATATTCCACGAATGCATGACAATCAGATCAGTGTAATAATAGTATTAACAGTTTTTTCAAACTAACAGAATCAGAAAAAATAAAAATTAGAAGTACAAAAAGGCAAATCAATGAAACGAATAATAATAATAACAATAATTCCATGTGGATCCATCGAATATGCAAGAGAAATGATTCAGGTTATAAATGATAAAGTTCTTTTCTTTTTTTTATTCATAATTTGCTACATTTATAAAAATATATGGAAATGCTTTTGTTTCTTCGCATATTTCAAATACCAATGACATAATGCATTGTAAAAAGAGAAGTTTTAAAGTATTTTGGCAGATCCAACTTTGTATTTAAACATTTTACAATTCGTAATTATTATTTTAAATCATTGTTTTCAAGCATTTGTCTTTTTTGAATTCGATAAAAAAAATTGGTTTTAAAACAGAAAAAATTTTTTTGATTTATAAAAATAATAAAAATTTTCATTTTGTTTTTTTTCTTTTTAATTCTGAACAAACAAATTAATTTTTGATTGATCTCAATATGTATTAAAAGAAGATAATCATCGGCTTCCAATGCAAATATTTATATGAACTAACTTTACTAACTCACTTTATGATATTTGGAAAAAATTTCTTCTTTTTGCATTTTGTTAAAAATGCTCAAAGATGTGTCAAAAGATTTTTTTCTAATTACAATAATACTTCATCCGTTTTTTTAAAAATTTTCTTTTTTACATATTTGCAGTTTGAACTAAAATATTAAAACAAGTTTATGCAACATAGCTGCTGAAATTTCAAGCACCTAGCTAATAATAAGTTAAGAGGTTGTTTAAAACAAAATTTAATAAGCTTTTAATTTTAATTTGCCAAGTTATTTTTCATCCAATTTAATTCAAGTATTTTTCGCTTATATAAAGATTTAAAACAAAAAAAAGTGTAAAGTTTGCTAATCAGTTGCTAACAAGAAGATTAGTCGGTGAAGTTTTTTTTCTAATTACACTTTGTAAATTTTAACTTTTCAAAATTCTTTGCCTGTTTGACCTATGACCTATTTAGCATTGGTGATATTAAAACAATTTTGAATCCAAAATTTGAAACATGAGTTTCTTTTCATTGTTAAATATCAAAAGCAAAGAACTTTTGTTTATAATCCTATCTGTTTGTTCTATTTGATTAAAAATTCAAAAAATGCTGAGGCAGTTAGACTATCTTTAATCAGTGGCATTTAACAGCACAATGATAAGTAATTGTTAATTTCCAGGAAAGATTTTAATTGTAAGAATTAACAAATATGCCTTTCCTTAGCAGTTTACTTCCATATTATCACCATTGTCTAAATTCTTAATAAAAATTAATCTCTCTGAAATTTGCAAAATTTAGATGTTGAAAATTGTCAAGTCCACAGAAAATTTTCTAAAAATTTCTACCACATTATTCTTAGTAATGATTTGTGTTGAAATGAACCATAAGAAAAGTAAAGAGCAAAGATCATAAGTTTTTGTGTACAAATATTGTTTGTTTTTTATATAAAATACTTTTGTAGTTTTTCATCAAACATTAATTTCAAGCATTTTGATAAAAAACTGAAAACCAAAATTTGAAGTTTGAATAGCAATTCGCATTTTACTTTTTTCTTTTGCATAACTTTTAAGAAGCTAATTTAAATGGACTAGAAGATAGATCCATTGGACATTCAGATGTTTAGTTCTCATTTTCGACCCCAATATGCTGCATTTTTCCTTTTTTTATTTATTCATTTATTTTTTTAACCAGTTTAACATACAATTTAATTAGTTTACATTATATTTTCCACAATTAATCCCTCTTAAAATGAGCGTCCTTTTTTTTATTTTGAAACTACCACTGACCATTCAATGACAAATCGGAGGGAAAATGAAGTTGAACAGTATTTTTGGGAATATAATTGTATCGTAAAATGGAAAAATTTTATTTTGGGAAAGAATGAAAAGGAAAAATTTCACAGAATCGGAATTAAATTTTGCTTTTCATTTAGAAAAATTGAATTAGGCTTAGACTGATTTCCATTGTGCTAAAATAAGAATGGAAGAAAAAAGCTGAAATTGAACGGACCCAGATTAAGCTTATTCAAAAGAACCAGACTAGGCTCTTTAGAAGGAAAATGGATGAAGTAGCTTCTGCTCTTAAATTAGGTGTAAGTTTTAAATTAAATGTAGACTAACTGGATATAATTGAATTAGATGTAACTTAAATTCGAAGTAATTTTTTAAATCAAATGTAAAACACTTTTGAAAATCTGGTGAATTTAACACTTTTTTTAGAAAAATTAAAAGTACTGAGACGAAGTGCTTTTCAGTGCTAAACGAAAATGGTGTTCAAAAATTCAAAGTGTATGGATATTTTTGTCGCGTACGTTTTTATCAAGCGTACGCTATCCTTCAAGGTTATACGAAGTTTTTAAAGTTGAAAATTCATCTTCCATATAAGAATATTCAGCAAATTCGACTAATTTACGCCAATGAAAATTTGGAACAAATTATGGTCAGTTTTTTTTTTTTTTTTTTTTACAATTACTGGAAATATTACACAAATTGCTGTAAAGAAGACAATTCCAATTAGTCACAACGAATTGGCAAAATTAATTAATTAGTCATTTACCCTGAATAAGGTTATCAATACGAAATCATTTATCATACCAATCGATTAATTTATTCGAGGAATTTCAGCGAATCGATTTATCGAAATTCTTAGATATAAAGGAGAAATCTCCGATCTTCTCCTAGTTTCATCTATTTTTTTTTTCTTATTTTTCATCTTCACCTTTGCTTTTCCAATCATTTTTAAATTATGAAACATAATTTTTATCGGTAAAAAATTTAATTTCATGTTTTTCGTTAAATCATTTTTCTTTTGCCACTATAAAATGCATTCTTATTTACAATGAGCAATATACAGTTATGCATCAGAAATAAAAGAAATTTCAATTTAATTTGCAAAATTAAATAAATTCATCAAAAGCAATGGAATGGCAGCAAATTTTATTTTTATCAAATTTTTGAGTTTTTTAAAACTTTCCATTCAATTTAAGACGAAAATTGTGTAAAATTGTTGAAATTAAGAATTTTTCCTTTTTTGATTAAATTAATCAAATTTTATTCATTTCTCTTAACTTAAATCAAATCTTAATATCTGAATTGGTATACCGATGTTAATTTCATAACTGCGTTTATTACTTAATTAAATTATCTATTCTATTTGAAAATTGAGGGAATTCATTTAGTTATACTAACGATAAGTTAATTTAAAATTGAAAAATTGAACTTTCCTCAATTCAATCAATTATTTTTGATTTTATTTTTTCTTAACTTCATCCAATCACTTTTTATTAGCTCTAAAATCTGGCTATTATTCAGTGAATAAATGTCATTTGAAGGGATATTTGTTAGCTTTAATCTAACTTTCCTTTTTATCGCTAAATTAATTTTTCTTTTTTTTGAAGTAAAATTCTTTAAATATTTTATTGGAAATTTTTCTCATCCACTAATCGTTTGTGAATTAAAAAATATTTTTCACTACTTATTTGCGAACTAGTTAAAAATAAAATGATGTTAGGAAATACGAAAATAATTGAGTAAAAGTTTGCTTTTTCAAATTTAAAATTTGTAACAATTAGTCCCTTTAATAAAATTTCGAAATTACGATACGGTGACAAGATTTCTCAAAAAATGAAAGAAAGAGGGAGGATAAAAAAGGAGAGAAAAGGAGAAAGAGAGAGGAAGAAGTAAGTAAAGGTTCAAAGAAATTCTATGATTTTTTTTTTCTTGTTAACAGCAGTTGTGCAGAGATTAGAAGTTTTCGACTTATTTTTTTATTTTTTTTCCAATAGTTAGCATCTTCACATTTTACTCATTGTGCCACTTAGATATCCCGGATAAACTCTCGGGTGATTGTTTAAAATTTACATAATAAATGTTGATGAATGACTAAATAAATTAATTGCTATTAATTGGTGCAAAAAGAAAGTTTGATTTTATTATTGCATTGATTGAATTATTACAAAATTATTGATCAATCGGTCGATTGGTTGATTAATTGATTAATTGATTGATTGATTGACTGGTTTGAATATCTTTTTAACTAAATGTATTTTCTCATTACTTGCAAATCATTTCGAAATATTTCAGCAAATTATTGCAAGCATTTTATCGTATTTCTAAAATTTTTCCCCTCTTAACAAATGCTGAATTCCCATTATTTCATTATATTAAAATCGAAATTAATTTGTTAACTAAAATTTCAGGTCAAAATGGTACGACGGAAAATTCGGTTTACATCAAAACGGCATATTTTCAAAGATCTTTGCGAATTATGGCGCACTACAATTACTTTAGCAAATGAAAATAAAAGGGTAAGATGAAATTTGCAAAAAGAATAAAAAACTATTTAAATTATTAAATCTTCAATTTAATTATCACATTTGGAAATTTTTAAAATTTTCTATCGCAGAAGTAATCCATCCTAAATGCTATGCTTAATCATTTGTATAGTTGTTTAATCGATTAATTGGTTAATTAATAACTTTTTTTCCTTTTTTGGCTCAATTCCTTGTTCATCGATCAGAATCATCATTCTATGTAACATATTGAAATAAATCTGATCGAAAATTTAATCTTTGACTATTCCATCATTTGCTTTTTTTTTTTTACTTAATTTTATCAAATTAAAAATGTTCAAAATATATAAATTTTTGACATTTATTGCTTATAAAATCAATATTCTATCGTTCCTTCCACTTTTTTGTCTAAATTTATAAAATTTTTCCAATTTCATTTTTATTTTTAAAAAATTATTTCTAAATTTTTGCAATTTTTCAAACTAGCATATCAAAATTTATCAAAAATAGAAATGGTTAGTTTAATTTTATGAGCGATAAATTTACATAATAGAAGATTATCAAAAACATTTCATTTTTTTGCATTCATCAATTCAATCGATTTATTGTCAATTATATGGTGATAGATATGGTGCTGTTAGTATGTTATTGTTACCGTTATGTAAAGTGATAAATGATGGCTTCTAACTTCTTTATGATAACTTATGAGTGATTAGTTAAGATATGTAATATTGTTATGTGTCAATTTAATTCACCTAGATAAAGTAGATATTTCAAACTTTAACTTATCCGAAGTTAATATAACTTCGGAAAAAGAGCGGGAAGGTAAAGCAAATTAATCGGACGAGTGGAAAAAGTAAGATGAATTGATTAAATCATTTAGATGATAGAAATTATATGCTTCATTTATTTAAAGTTCATTATCTACATATTTGGCCAATTTTTTCGTCCTTTTTTTTAATCAAAATAATCATTTCAACTTTTCTAATAGCAATAATGATCATTCTTAAATGAGTGAAAATTTGATAATTTTAATTGGACAGAGGTAATTTATGCAAACAGATAATAATAGGTTTTTGGAAACTTTCCAAAAATTGGTTTCCAGCCAAACTATAAATCATTTAATTTTTTTCTTTTTAATGATTATTTTAACAGATTCAACGGAATGAAATGAAACTTTTTGTTTGTCAAAAAAAAGTTATGAATAATAACCGTTCCTTAGCATATTTAGCTTTTTGTGATGGCATAATTTTTAAATAATAGAAAGAAATTACATTTAGAGAGATATAATCATTGAATGGAAGATAATATACTGTTTCATTTGAGAAAAAAAAAAAACAATCATCAAACGATTAGAGAGAAATATTTCTTGAAATGCTAAAAAATTAATAAAGAGAAGTGAAAGATAACAAAAACTGATTGTGGAACTTTTTTTTCCGGATGAGAGGAAAAATTAACCGGATGAATGGATAGGATGACAAATTTCACTTTTTATATATTATTTACATTATAAACGTTGCTAAAACTTGTCGCGAAACAAATTTATGGATTGAAAAATCGTCAAAATTTAACAAATTCATAGCATTCTAGAGTTTTGAACATGAAATAATACAAGCTCAGTCATAATTAAAGGTTTAGCTACGAGTATTTAGGCTTATCATTGTCAACTAATCGTAGTCTCACAATCAGGAAAATCTGGTTAGGGAAATATTAAACTTTTGGTGGAACTTTCACATTCGCATTATGCAAAAATCTTATAGTGTAAATAATTTGTGCAACAAAATGATAATAAATAAAGAAGGATTGTTAACTGACTAGTAGTATTATTTTGGACAATCAAAACTGATAATATTATCACATTCATTTTTCAACAAATGCTACCTTATTTTTCGTGAAAATTGATTGCATGTGTATAAAAATTTCATTCATTTTTTATAAATCCAGCCAATTGAAATAAAAAAAAGAGCTATAAAAAGTTTTGAACCAATTTATTTCAATTAAAATTAAACATTTAAAATTAACTTTAAATATTTCGAATCATTATTAACTTCAAATTAATTGCCTAAAAATGAAGTATTAAAATTTTTATTTTCCAGAAATTGCTCCGATCATTATCTAATGCAAAAGCAAACGTAACAGCTGCTGAATCAACCCTCAAAACAAATTCTTCAAAAGCAATTTCATTTAATTCCAACAAATGCATTGTATGCTTTTTTTAATTATTCAAATTTTTCTGAGTATTGCACAGGCTGATGTTAATTGAAAAATAAGCAGTTTTCATCCTTTTGTTTGCATGCATGCATTTTTTTTTCTGCTAATTTTATATAAACAATTTGTTTGGTTTGCATATTTCAATCTCAAAAATTTATGCAATAAAATTTTTATTCCTCTCATTTTTTTATATTCTTTTCTCTTTATTCAATGAAAAATTCTGATTTATTTATTTACTTTTTTTTCGTATACAATTTTTATGGGCCTATTTTCCATTCAACTAATTAACTAATTAAATTTAATAATTATTTAAATTTTTTAGTTTTTTTCTGTGATAAATCCAAACATATTTCACACCATTATCCAATTTTTTATAAATAATTTCTGGGAGAAGATAAAATTGAATGATATGAAGATAATCTCTGCTATCATTTAAATAATATTACTCATAAATATATGCAAATTTTCAGGCTTTTCCGAAATGTCTTTCTTTTTAATTTTAACATTTTTAAAATATTGAAATCCTTAAGATATTCCCTTCCTAATAACTTTAACTCTTATTGTTTAAAAAAGTCAATGATATTTTATCATAGTAAATTTGATATGAGAAAATTATATCAGTAATTCTTTATATATTGGCTTAAACAATTTGCTTTTTTTAAAATTTTTCATTTTTTAAATATTGTTTTTTTTTTGAATATAAATCTTAAGTTCAATGAATATTTTGGTTTAGAAATTTGAAATTCAATTTTAAATTTGAAACTTTTTCAGCTTTTTTTCTTTCTTTGTTGTTTATTCAATTCCCGCTTTCAATCAATTAACAATGGTGGAAAGTTGAAGGAATGACTTTTGGAAATCACTTCCACTTAGTTACATCATTTTATCGCTGCTACTTCCTTTTTCTCTTCTAGCCTCTTCGACATGATAATTTTCTCCCGCTATTTCCACTGAACTCCCCGCCCTGATGCTCTTCCCCGCTCTTTCACTTATGTCGGAATACTTCTAACAACGAAGAATATTTCTATCTTTTTGTTAGCTTAAAATTCAATCCATAACAGAAATCAATGAATTTTTACGCCGCTTTATGCATCTATCTAGCTTTATTTTTTCATGTCTGTTTTATTCATATGGTCTTGGCTTTCAGCTAGTAAAGAGTAAAGTATGAGCCTTAAGGCTTAGGCTGTTAGCATGTAAATGCAATCCATAATATGTGAGACTTTTCCATCTCTCACTTTTACAATTTACTCACATCATTTTCTGTTTTCTTTTTCATTCTCACATTGTTTTTATGCCAATAATCTTTTTCTTTTACTATTTTTGCCATTTTTTTGAATTTTTAAAGTTGAAAAGTTCGAAAATTTTGAAAATTGCGAACTTTTACGAAATTATTTTAATTAAATTTATTGTTGGAAGGAAAATTTTTGAGGAAAAACGTTATTATATCGAATGAATGTATAACAGTTAATTTCCAAAATTTAGTAAATTTTAGAGATAAGTTTCTTTAGGAAGGATTATTTATGATGATAGCAAGCAAAGTGCAAACTACAAACCACAGACATAAATTGCAGATAACAAACAAACTGCAGACTGCATATAGATGCATGTTGCAAAGTAGCAATTAGAAACTTTGTGAAATATACAAATACATATAGATAGCACGGTTTGTGGATGCTAATCCATTTAATTAAAAATTGGAAATTGAAATATATTGATTTCGAATTTGTGAAAAAAATACGATTAATGAATCCAAATATTGTATAGCATGTGCTAGACGGAAATGATGTGGAACAAAATGAGCAGCAAAGATTACTAGTACAGAAATTGAGTTACGATTCAGCAGCTACTGATAATGATAACGATGATAACGATGGAATGGATAAAATAAATTTCACACCGTTTGTTTCATTTTTCAATTTCATTCAATTGTTTTATACAAATTTATTATCAAATGAATAAGCATTTTGGTCAAATGAAAGTTGTCGCTAATATCACAAGTAGAAACAAAGGAACAATAATCCCCTTTGTTAAAAGTCAAACATCTTTGTTTTATATGCTCATATCGTCTTATGTTTGCGCTAACAAAGAACCCTATATGCTAGTGGGTGCTCCATAAGGAAGCTACTACCTATAATCATAAAACGGTACAAGGATTTTCCACAAAAGATAATTAGTACAGAAATTGGGTTACGGTTCAACCGCTTCCTACTAATGGAGGAATACGGTTCAATCACTTCCCACAAAAGGAAGTGAAGGATCCTAAGCGCCAAGTTATTTTACAAATGTGCTTCATCGAGGTCGGTTGGAGATACGATATCGGGCATCATTTGGTCTCCTTTGTTCTTAGTGGTTCTGTCATCAAATTGTTGTGTTGATATCGTAACTGCTAAGTTCGTTGCTGTATTAATAAATTTATCGTAATAAAAGGTTTAATTACCAAGTTTGAGGTACCCAAAGAAGCGAAAGAACCCTCAGTTTTTGTCACGGTTGAAGGAAAACAGCGACAAAATTTAACATATAAATAGAATGGAAAGTTGTAAGATAAAAAAAAAGACAAATTTAAGAAAGTTTGAATAAGAAGTGATGGGTAAAGAATTGTGATAAGTAATCGAGACAATAGAATTAAATAAGTATTTTTCTTTTAATTTGATCCTAACTTTAAATTTAATTCTTTAAACTTAATCCTTTAGAGGTAATGGAATTAAATAGGTATCATAAGTAACGTGAAATGTATTATATAAAGGATAAAATGGAAATGTTTTTTTCAACTAATTTTTCCTTCAAATTTTTCGAAAAATTATATATTTTAGTTTAGTTGCTAACAAATAAGTATTGTTTTGCCTTAAAGAAGCTGTAAAGTAAAATCAAAAAAAAAAAAGAAATTATTAATTGTAGAAATGAATTATTATCTGAAACAGTAGCGTGTACAACTGTTTCATCAACGTTATCATTGTCATCACTGACTGGGCCAACAGCAATGATCGATGTTCCGGATTCAGAATTTCCCGTTGATAGTGACGGTAGTACGAAGAGATGCCATAGAAACAGTAACAATGATACTACTGAGAATATCAGTAAGTTTTCCGTTTTTTAAATTCCTTTAATTTTGTACCTGCTTCTCTTCGGTATTTTTTTTTTTGTTTTGATAAATCTTGAAATTTTTCTTTTTTTTAAAAAAGATTTATCAAAAACTATTTTAAGAGAAAATTTTTTCCTTTTTTCCTTTTATCGAAAATTTTTTTTTTCCTAAAATCTTTTTTTCTTCGTTTGTCTTTTTTTCTCTTGTTATTTTAAAAACTTTCTAAAAATGTTAAAACGAAGTCTTAGCAAAAATCTACTAATTGGAAATTCTAAGAGAAAAACCGAGATTTATTAGCTCAAGACAAAAAAATAAATAATTAGAATTCAAAACAACTGGGAAGTTTGTAAGCATGTATCATATCGTTAGATTGAATATCAAAATATTTTAATAAAACGATTAAGTTTTGAATTTTAATAAAAGCTTATTTAGTTCAAGTTTTGGTAGTAACTTTTCAAATATTTTAGTTTTATTTCATTTTTTTTATTTTCATTTATTTCATTTATTTGTTTTATTTCATTTATTTCACTTTTTTTTTTTCAGAAACGAAATTTTCATGTCAATGTCAATCACATTTAGACCGAATATTTCTAGACAATGTTTATGCCTTAACAACAACACAACTCTTTGCTATTCTCTTTTCACCAATACCATGGTATCAACATTTGCATGAAATTGTCAACAAAACAGGTTAACATACATGTATTTGATGAAATCATTTATCCATTAAAATTTTAATTAATTAAGAATTTAAAATTTGGATTTTTGAAAATTTCCTCCAAATATTCAAAATTTGTAATTTATTTCCTTGATTTAAATAGGCAAACAATAAAATGTATTAATTCTTCGGTTCAAAATTTCAGCACATGGAAGAATGTTGAATATTGTAAGCAGTAAGTAATTTTCGTTTCCCTTTCAATATTTTATTTTTTCTAATTTTAATTTTAATTAAATTTTTCTTTTTTGATCAGATATTGTGGCATCATTTGATGAGACAATTATCTAAATGTTGATTTAGATGTAATATCGATTCTGCATTCTTCAATTAGCTTTTTCTATTACCTGATGTCATTTATATTTCATCAGTTAATGACATCATGATTATTATTGCCAGATTATGTTGCAACATCATGGACTACGGTAAATCCTGCCGTTACTGCGCGAACAGTAACCTATAATATGGCATTAAATAATACATTAGGTCCAAAAAGTACATCAGTTACTGAAAAACAGGTTATTCGTTTTAAATATTTTTGCTCTGACTTTAATTTCAATGAAAATCATTTCATTTAAGAAATTTTGAAAATCTTTTAAAAATTTCGAAAAGTTACAAAACTTAATTTTCCTTTTCTTTCTTTTAATTCATTCTATCCCCCTTTTATTCGAAATAAATAAATGAAAAGGAAGATTAATAACACACATATTTACATCTTCATTCCTTTTTAATGTCATCTAATGTTATTATCATGTCACATAATTTCAGACATGTTACGCATTTCACGGTACCGATGAGGGATTTACCGTAATGAAAGAGATTCAAAATGCGGGTATACCATATGCTGATAATTTTACCATTCAGTGTACTTATTGTTTGATTCGAGCAGGTAACACGCAATCCAGATTACTTATACACGGTGCAATGATACAAAAGAAAAGTATTTGGGGCATTGTTAAAGGTAAATTTTTTTTCATTCAATTTTGAAGCGGAAATTTAAATTGGCGGAAAAAAAATATTTTAGCAACGGTAGATTTGACTCTTTTTGTTGTAATAACAACAGTAATTTTTATTGTAATAACAACTGTAATAATAATAACACACTTTTATTGCTGTCGTAGTGCTATTTACCGTATATCATTCCTACTATACTTACTGATTTAGAGATATTTTACGATAACATCAGTTTTCTTTTTTTTTTACACTCTGTATGTATATGTATCCAGTAGTAAACATACATTTGACGTAATTAATAAGGAGTGTACTGTAGTGTTATTAGTTATGTTGCATGTGTACTGTAATGTTATTAGTTATGTTACATGCAATGCGTATACTTTTCTTTTATAAATACAACTGTATAGTTTCAGGAATAATTGAAAAAAAAGTATTTTTTCAATTGTTCAGTTACATATTTTATATGAGTATTAAACCAATAATGTTACATCTTTTTTTCTTATTTCTTTTTTTTTCGTCTTTGACAAATACGTGATATTACTTAAATCACGATAGATTACTATTTCTTCTCCCTTTTATTTATCGATATATATACAATTTTCATCGAAAATATTGTAACATTTTCATTCAGCAATCATTTCAGGAATAATTGAAAAAAGTACCTACAGTGGATTAGAAACGCATTATACGGTATTAGAGGAAACGTTAAAATTACTGTGTGATGAAGAATTAGTTGAATCAAAACAAACTACAGTATCCGAGTCTGAAGCAACAAATAGTGTAATCAACAGTTCACTTCCAAAGAAATTATTAAATGGGTACGCTAATATCGATATTTCATTTCTATCAGCTAAAATTGTAGGAGTTAGTAAGTGTAAAAAAAATAAATAAATGTTTGCGTTTTTTTTTACTTTTTATTTTTGGTAAATACCACGTGATATTACTTAAATCAAGTCAGATTATTAGATATAACTCTTTGAGCATATCAATTATCGATTAATACACTTGTCTTTTCTTTTTTTGCAATCATTTTAAAAGTTTTTTAAATGAAAGAAAAAAACGTAAACAAATTTTTACAAATTAGCATGTACTTGTTTCATATATATATATATATATACATATATATATGTACTCTCCTCTTCCTTTTTCGTATTGTTTACATAATCTATTAAAATAAATTAATTGTTCAGTGGTCATTATCATAAGGGTGACTTTTTTTGTTGCCATAAAAATTTAAGAAAATTATTTGTTGCCAATAATTTTTTTTATCAAAGCAAAAGTTATAAAAAAAAGTCACTTCTTGGCTACTTGAAGTATGCCGTAAATTATTTAAAATATATAAATATGTATAAATTATTTCATTTTTTTGATGCATTTCAAAAGTTCCATTTGTGAAAATTTTGACAAAAAAAGAGATTTTACTAGAAATATTTCAATTTTAGATGTCAACTAAATTTTCATTAAAAAAAAGAAAGTGAAGAAACTGAAAGATCTCATTGTGTTGAAAATAAAAAAAAAAAAAAAGGAAAAAAAAGTTGCTGGGTTAACTTTATTAAGCAAATTTTTATTTCCCAAAAAAAAATTGAAAAATTAAAATTTCTTTTTAAAGAAAGCAAACAGTTGGCAGTTATTTATATCTGCAGAAAATACAGTAATAACAAAAGCGATTCTGTCACACAATACAACACTTCAACAGTTGTTCATTGCCGGACGACGATACTGAAACCGATTATCAATTCTGCTGAGGATAAGAGTCAGTTTTCCGTTATACCCTTCGGGTGAGAACTAACATTACTTGCACTGTTGAGAAATATGAGTTATTGATTCATTTGTTCCAAATAGCATTAATGACCAAAAAATGTTTTTTTTAAAAAAAGAAATGTATTACTTGAAGATTAAATAATTGAACGAATATAAACAATTGAAAGAATAATATATTGTCTAAATTCGCCATATTCGAGAAAAAGAAGCTTTAAATTGATGTTCGGATATTAAAGAAAGAAAATTCGAATTTAAATTTTAATTCTCCAAAAATTCGCATAATCACTTAATTTGATTAATCACATAATCACGGATATGATGATAGATATTATTAAAGAAATTTTTACAAGTCATTAAAAATTTTAAAGCAATATAACGAAGATTCGAAACAATAATACGATATGCGAAAGCTTATGCCTTAGAATCACTGATAACTATCTAATCATCAAAACAATTGAACGAAACAGTTCAATAGCTGATATTTGTTTGATATTTTAGCGATGTTACATAAACAATGTACGATCGTGACGTGTAATAATGACATACTTTTTCAACGAGACAATTCAATCAAACTTGATTAAGAAACAGAGCATACCAAATATTATTATTTTATCCATATATTTACATTAACTTAATTATATTATGTTATAAGTTCATACTATGTGGAAATTTAAATAATATCAGTGTTTCTATTTTTATTTTATTAATTTTAATCAATTTAATACACATTTTGATCAATTTAATCAATAAATATGCATTTTAACTAACCATTAATTAGCTATTTTATTATAAGTGGATAAGATGGAAAATCTAATAAAACTATGTCAAAAACATAAAATTTATTTTTTAAGAATTTATTGATTAAAAACGAAGTTTAAAATTTTACAGCTTTGAAAACTACAAACTGAAATAAAAAATAAAAAATAGACGAAGTATTAGTTTTCCATAAGTTTTATTCTATGTATATATAGAAATATTTTGCGCTTAAAACTCATACATATCATTTGTTATCACTATTTATGCAAAAATTTATTACGAAAAAATAAATTCCATTCTTTCAGATATAAAAACAGCAATAACAATGAATGATAATAATTGTATTTATGATAATGCTACAATGATTACACAACGTATAACAACCAATGCTCAAACACAAACATTAAATTATCTTAGTGATAAGGAAACTATTGGTTATTCCAATAAATTTATTATTATTCTGTAAGTTTATGAAGTGATTATTGTTTTTTTTAATTCGTCGAAAGTTTGAGATTTTTCGCGAAAATTTTAATTTCGAAATAATTATTCTTTAAAAAATATTTGTAAAGTAAACTTTTAGATTTAATTTCGCATCATTAGTTGCTTCAAATGATATAAACTTATAGTTATAAAATTAAATTGATTTAATCGACGAATAATTAATTATTTATGAAAACTTTCAGAACTTTTCAGTTTTTCATTTCTTTAAAATAACATTTTCAACTTAATTTTTTGAGATTCTGTTTAATCTTGGAATAAACAAATTGTTTATAGGCTTTCTGTGCTAATTTGTTTGCAAGTTTTCACTTACCTAAGGATCTCATATATTTTGGATGCTGATTGCGCCAGTACCAATGCAAATTCCGCCTTTATTGATGTCATCCAACAACAGTAAGTTAATGAATAATTTCGAAAATTCTTCACCAACTTATCAAATGCACTGCAAATTGAAGTATTGATAAATTTCGACCCATTATTGATTAATAATTATTTGTACATTAGCTCGATAATAAATTCAGATCCTTTATCGATTAATAATGGTGTGTGGAGTAGAACGAAATTTCAGGAATGAATTACCAATTAATGCAGAGAATTTCGAGCAATTGCAATTAGCAGGAAAAAATGTCATCTTCAAAGGTGACTTATAAACTTGCCGAAATCCTTCTAACTGATATTAAATTGATATCAGTTTTAGATACAATCCAATAAAATTTATCAAATTTTTAAAATTGAAAAAATCCTTCAAATTCTTTTCTTTTTTTTCCCATCAATTTTATGATTTTCTGAATCATAATTTTTTTTGACCATATCAATTCAATTTTATCGATGTTTTCATGGAATATTATTGTTGAAACAGATGTAACATCAATATTATTAGTTCTAATTAACTAATTAGGTAACTGGTTAATGAACCAGTTAATGAATTAATTGATGTTTGGTTACTTTAAGTTCGTTGTACTCTTTTTTTGTGAAGAATTATATTCTTTTTTTTTAATACAAATCTATGATTTCAGTTATTAAATTGTCTTTTTCCCACAATAAAAATGCACTGTTTTCATTTTCTCTTTCCATTTGTAATATTTTTAACAAATTTCGATGTCATGAAATTGTTGCAAATATTTGAAATAACAATCGAAACTGAAAGTTTTATTTTGATTTTTAGCCAGAATTGAAAATTTTAGTTTGATTTTGAAGTGCGAAAAGAAAAGGAAAAACAAAGAAATGAAATAATAAACTATCTTATTTGTCTTTGTTTACTTCGGTAACAATTGGAATTTATATTAAAATAATCATTAAATACCATAAAATCATTAAATTTACTTTTTTCAAACATTTCATTCAACAATTCCCGTACGAAATGATTTGCATAACGTTTGACGTATTACGAAAACATTGAGAAAAATCTTATATTTTTTTTGAAGTATATTTTGTATCCTTTAAATAAAAAATAAATTACATATTTTTTTTGAAATTAGCAAATTAACATTTACTAAATGATTTTATGCATTTCATTCAATAATTACCATAAGAAGCGGCTTACATCATATTTGAGCTCAATTAAGTGCTCCCTAAAATAATATCAAAAATAAAATTTCCGTAAACTTTTCTGAATATTATCTTTTTTCTTTTGCTTTCCCTTTTTTTTTAATGGCAAATTTTCCATATGATAGTCAGAAAATAGCTATGTATGAAGTTAATTATACCCTTAATTAGATTAAAAATTAAGAAATTAAACATTCAATAACTGCGGTGAACAAGGTGATGCTACAGCTTTTAGAAATTTTCTTCCAGCATCAGGTGGCTTATAAAGCGGTGAATCTGGTGGAGCTGTTGAATCACTACGTTTGAATTTTGATGAACATTGAGATAAATTACGATTCAACCTACACCTAAAAATGTCAAATGTAAATTCAAATATTTACAAGTCGTTGATGTTTTAATTTGAAGATGACAATTTTACTATAATATTCTTTTCGTTATTTTTAATCAAACTTTAAAATTATTCAGAAAGGCTCAGATGTCAGGATATCAATCTAACGGAAAAAAAATTTCGGTAAATTGAATTTATGCTAACTATAATAAGCATTTGAAATAAATCCAAAATACTTTCGAAATTTCAATAAATCAAAATAATTTCAATGAATCCAAACAAATTTTCATATTATAACATACCATTATTAAGATTTGCCATGAATAAAATTTACAAATAAAAATGAATTTGAGCAAAAAGAAAAAATCTGGTGAGCCAAAAAATTTTTTTTAATTCAAAAAAAAACAAAAACAAAAATAAGAAGGTAAAATAAACGAACTGGTAAAAAAAAAAGCCAAAACATACAAATTTTCATGATTTTTTGCTAATTTATCATCCTCCTTACAATTGACCAATGTATCATCGGAACAATTATCATCGTTATCATCATTATCATCGACCTTAGGATCATACGTTAAGTCATCACAATCATCATCATCATCATCATCATCAGTATCAAATTCTGTATTGGCGGTAAAATACGCTGTCATACCACTTAAACCACTAATACTCGAAACCTACGAACAATGTTATCATCATTATCATCAACTTTAGAATCATACGTTAAGTTATCACAATCAACACCACCATCATCATTGTTATCTGTTCATTCTCGAATTCTTTTACGTTTTTTGAATCTATAGTTTGTAATTCATGCTAATTAATAATTTTTCTATCATGCTACTATTTGTAAATTAGTCGTTGAGAAAAATCAACTCGTTAGGGAATGAAATTTATTTTTCAATCAAATGGTATCATTTATTGCATAAGTAAGATTTTGCCAATTAGCTTATTTTTAATTAAAATGAGGAAAAACTGCAAATTTGTTATTAAACAAAAAGAACAAATTTTAAATTTAATTTCAAAAAAGTAATTAAATCATTAAAAGGTAAGGATGGAACAATAAATGTTTGACTACCTTATATGCATATGCTATTCCATCATTCCCTTTTCTTCTTATGCAAAAAATAAAAAAATGAAATTTTATGATCACAAAGAGACATCTAATATTTTGTAATGCGACAGTATTTCTTCAACAAAACATTTTACCACAGCGAATAATTAAAATTGTAAAAAAGAAAAAAGAGTGGTTAAAATAGTAAATAAAATTTATTCACGACAAATAATTAAAATGGCAAAGGAAAAATTGATCATAGCGAATAATTAAAATAGGAAATAAAATTCAAATCCCAGTTTAGAGTTAAGATAATAGCACGAATTGTAAGTAACATCAGATGACACATATGTTATCAATAAAATACATGCATGTATCATAAACCTACTCTTGAATTATTTCCTGGTTGTTGAATAGTAATTACCGCTTCTACATTTAAAGCATTTCTTGATTCCGCTGATTGTAAGTCATCAACATTCCGGCTCTGTACTGCAGTATCAAGTTGTTG